CAGCAGACGCAGCAGAGGCGACTGCTGCTGCCACCGCTGCTGCTGCGCCAGTAAACGCTGCTCCCCGTTGCTCCCCAGGCACCGCCCTTGCACGGAACTCCCCTCCAATGCTGCCACCAGCAGTGGCGGAAAGCAGTGGCTGTGTCCCACCACACGGCCCCCATGCTACCTTGCCCTCTTCACCTCTTGCCCTCTCCTCTCCTTCGCGCCCTCCTCCCTGCCCCTCCTCCGCCCTGGCTCCTCCAGCAGCCTCTGTACTCTGTAGCGAAGCAGCCTCTAGCGAGTATGACTGCACAGCAGCAGCGGACCCCTGGGAAGGTCCTGCAACAGGACCAGATGCTGCCGCTGCAGCAGCAGCAGTGTAAGAGGAGGGAGGGCCAGGGCCGGGCAAACCGAGAGGGCTTCTTTGAGTGTCGTAATGGGCGGAGCGGGAGCGAGAGAGAGGGTAGTCAAAACGGAGGGGATCTGAACCGGGGGTGGTCGTTGGTGCACCTGTGGCGGACGCTGCTGCAGCCGCTGCTGCTGCCACCACAGCAGCACGAGGCGGGTCTTGTGCCTCGGGATCTCCGAGTTTTGCTGTGAGCAGGCGAGCCAGGGCGTAGGTGGCATTGCTGCGGGGATGGCAGGGTGGGAGAGAAACGCAAGAAACCCAGTGAATGCTTGGCGAAAACTAGCTCGGTGACTTCAAAGCACTTTGCAATACCTCAGATTCTTGGAAACAAGGCAAAAGATTGCCACTTGCACAACATCCCACAGCCCTCACTTCGATTCGCAGCCAAGACTCAAGATGGCACAGCGTGCGCACCCATCCCATGCGCACCCATCCCATGCGCATCCATCCCATGCACACCCATCCCATGCGCACCCATCCCATGCGCACCCATCCCATGCGCACCCATCCCATGCGCACCCAGCCCATGCGCACCCATCCCATGCGCACCCATCCCATGCGCACCCATCCCATGCACACACATCCCATGCGCACCCATCCCATGCGCACCCATCCCATGTGCTGTGCACCCATTCCATGCGCATCCATGCCACACCCATGCCACGCCCATCCCACACATATCCCAAACCCATGCCAGACCCATGCCACACGCATGGCACGCCCATGCGGTGCGCACCTGCCGTATTCATTCATCACGAGCCCATCCATCTCTCGCAGCGGGTCGTCCAGCGCCCTCTCGGACCGTGACGGCCGTCTCAGCTGCCTGTCCGAGTTAATCATCGGCACTAGCATGTGCGCCCCCACTCCCTGCCCCCCTCCCCCCGCTAGCCCCTCCCCCTTGTAATGCCCCTTGTGCGGAGCGGCGAACCCCCCGTGATGATGCCCCTGCTGGCCCCCCCCTTGCTCTTGCCCATGAGAGCCCCCCTCGCCTCTTCCCCCCCCTCCATATTGCTGCTCACCCCCCTGTCCGTATGGGGGTACTTTGAATTCTACCCCTCTCTTTCTCGCAGCCTCCTGCCCCTGCCCAGGCTCCTGCCCATGCTGCTGCAGCTGCGGGTCATAGTGCCCGGGTGCTCTTTGCTCCTGCTCCTCCTGCTCCCTCTCCGCTGCTCCACCTCTCGCCGCTGCTTGCGCTTGCAGCTGGGAGGGCGGGGCAGGCAGGCCCGATAGCTGGTGGTCGCGGTTGCGGGCTTCGATCTGCTCTATGTAGTGCGCTAGCACCTCCTCTGCCAACACCTGCCTGTGCTTCCACAGACGCAGAACCTACAGGGCAAGGGGGTAGGGTGTACGGGTTGGGGAAAAAGGCAGGGAAGAGCGAGGATAGGGAGGAATGGGAGGGAGGGAGGTGATGCTGCTAAACTTGGTCATGCTTCCGGAATGGCAATCCTTAGCATCAATAACTGCCAACACCCGTCCGGCAAAATCCACAATCATTCGGGACCACGCCAGCAGGACCACCAATCGGGCAACACCATTCACCCAACCCAACAGCAGTCACCCAGCGGCAGCAGCAATCGCACCTTGATGCACTGGCGGCGGTTCTCATGAGCGGCGGGGCCGGCAGGGGCAGCCGCCGTGACGATGCGCAGCAGAGCATCCTTCACCAGCTCTGGGTACACTGCCGGCGGCCCACCTGGTGGCGGCACAGTCCCCGGGTACCAAGGACGGAACAGTTGCACAAAGACAAGTCAGGGGTGAAAGGCTCAACCAGAGGTGAGGTAAGGGTAGGAGCAAAGCACATAATTTGGTCAGGGAGAGACGGCGAGGGAGAGAGCGTGAGGAGGGGATAGGGAGAATGGTTGGGAGGGGAGAGAGGATTAGCAACATCTCAAGTGAATGTGCTACAGCTTGCTTGGCAAGGTTGCCAAAGGGTGGTGTGTACCGGGGCAAGAATGCTGAGATGGACTGTTGGACTCATGTTGATATGCAGGACCTAACGACTCAGTATTTGTTTAGCTTAATAACCTTACCTAGCAGCCCCGAGCCATGCACTAGCTTCTGAAATTCGTTGTTGCTCCTTTTAGCTCTGTGCGTGCCCTTTTTTAGTTCAGGTTTGCTTTCAAAGGTGCACTTGCCTTTGAGGTGCGAACTCTGTGTGATGGAATCGACGAGGAAGAAGAGGTCGACCTTGCGGTGCATGCTCATCTCGTTCTCCAGCCGCGATACCACCATCTCCATCACCTGCACATGCACTCACGCACCAAAACATGCACACATGTACGTGCACATGCAGATACACACACGCACGCACACATGCACACATGTACGTGCACATGCAGATACACACACGCACGCACACATGCACATGCACACATGCACATGCACACATGCACATGCACACACGCATGCACACATGCACGCACATGCATGCACAGAATAACCGAGTGGTGAGCACAAGCAGGAATGGGCAAGGAACACATGGCAATGCACGCACCCCACAAACATGCATGCGCTACAATATACAGAACGAACGGGTGAAGGAAGTATGTACACAACAATACACACACATACCTGGAAGTGTGCACATGCACAGATAGAGGAGGAGAAAGTGTGGGGCGAAAGGAGAGAAGGGGGGGGGGGGGGGAGGGAAGGGAGGTAGACGGAGGTACGAAAAAATGATTTGTAGCAAGGGCCAGGCCAAGGATACCTGGAGTCACTAACATCAGCAAAGCAACCTCGCACCTGATCAGCAATCCCAAGGCAGGCACATGCCAAGGCATGGCGTGTGGTGCGGCCAATGCTCTCCTTGGTGCGAGACAGTGTTTCCAGCATCCCCCCAAACGTATCCCTCATCACTGCAGACTCCAGCTCACTCCCCCCACCCACCGCCCCACTACCACCCTCACCACTCACCCCCCCACCCCCTCCCAACCCAGCACTCCCCCCTCCTCCTCCCACTCCCCCTCCTCTCCCACTGCCTCCCGGCCCTTCCCCTTTCCCATCCACATCTGCTGCCCCTCCCCCCCACGGCACCCCATCTCTTCCATCCCCCACGCCCCCTGCACCTGCTGCACTATCCCCACCGCCCTTCCACCCCTCCACTCCATACTCCCCATCCGGGGGCAAACCATCTCTCTCCCCCAGCCCACTCCTCCCATCCTCCCCCCCGTCACCCATCCCAGCCCCAGCCACAGCAAGCCCTCGCCCGTCCTGCTCCACCCCCTCCATCCCCGCACCTCCTGCCCCTTCTCCCTCCTTCCCCTCGCCAGCAGCCACCGCAGCACCACCACTCTCGCCCAATCCATCCACTGCCCTTGCCGCATCACCCACCCGCCTCAACGAACCCACGCTGAATCCAGGGGGCAGCCCCCCTGCCGGTTCCGTCCCTGCAGCATCACCCGTGCCTGCTGCACCGGCTGCTTCTGCAAGCGGGGGCTCTTGGCGAGGGGGGAGGGGAAGGTCAGGGTCGGAGGTGCGGGGCGCGGGGACAGCAAAGGGAGGGAACGCGGGGCCATCTGCAGGCATGGGTGGAAAAAGGGGTGCGGCAGCAGCAGGCCCGGAAGAGGGGGCAGCGGTAGGTGACGAGGGGAATGGAAGTGGTGCTGGGGCGAACCCGGGTGGTGGGGGGCCAAAACCAGGTGGAGGGGGCGGAACACCAGGGGGAAGAATGGGTGGAGGGAAGGCCAAAGGGGGGGCTAAAGCCGAGGAGGAGGCGGAGGTAAGATGAGCCTTCTTCGCATTGGCAGCGGTTTTGAGGAGATCCCTCATGCTCGGTTGGGAAGGGGCTAGCAGGCCCGCAGCAGCCCCAGGCACAGCTGTTGCGCCAAGCCCCGGGATAGCAGCGGAAGGAGCAGAGGGTTTAGGGGCGGAAGTGGCAGCAGGGGGGGCTGTTGGCTTGGGGAAGGTCGCTTTGAATGGGCGAGAAGGGGGAGGTGCCTCGTGCAGTGCCTGCGGCTTTGACCTAGCATGGACAGCACAGGCGTGGAAAGCACAGGAAACACCGAGAACAACATCCAGAAAAGCACAAGGCGAGCGAAGATGAGCGAGACAAACATGAAGTCCATGGTCTGTCCATGTTGACGCCCATCACGCGCTCACAGCAAAGCCGCAAGCATTGAGATAAAACAGGAAGTGGCAAACATTAAAACGAAAAAGCCAAAGTTGACAGTACGTGAGAGGAAGCGCACCTCTCCCCTTCCCTTGGCCACTTGCGCTCCAATGCTCGACCCTGAGCCTCTGCCCCCGCTGACTGCCCCACTCTCCTCCTCCATCCAGCCTGCTGCGGCCCTCTGCCCCCCTGCCCATACACCCTCTGCCCTGGCCGCTCCTTCACCCCTTCTCTCACTCCACCTGCTGCTACTCCTGGCCTCTCACTCTTGCTCCTGCCTCCCACCCCTTCCCTGTGCTCCTCCTCCACCTCCACCTCCACCTGCACCTCCAAAACTTCCGAGTCATCTGAATCGTCAGACGAATCCCCCTCCTCCTCCTCCCCATCCTCTTCTTCCTCCTCCTCATCCTCCTCTCCCACCTCCTCCTTGCTCTCTTCGTCACCCTCCTCTTTCCCGCGCCCCTCCGCGCCACGCGTTCCGCTCCTATCACCACCACCATGGCCCTTCTTTCTAGTTCGAGTGCTGATAGCCCCTTCCCCCTCACCTGCCCCACTCCCTACCCCCCTCGCATCTTTCAAACCTTCAAGCCCCTTCCCAACCACCTTCTTCCTCCCCCCTTTACCCGCTTCCCGCCCATCCCCTTCTTCCCCCATCCCCCTCCGCAAACTGCTGCTCTTGAACCCTCCAAGCCCTTGCATCCGCCCCTCCTGCCCCGTCCCTTTCTTCTCTGCACTCACCCCCTTCCCCCTCGCACTCTCCCCTTCATCCCCCTCCCCACCCCCTGCACCCGATCCCCCACGGAACAACTTAGATCGCACCGGCACATCACTCCTCACTCCCGCTCCTTGCTCCCCACTCCCACCCGCCTCCCCAGGCGCCTTTCCCCCCTTTGCTCCGCCTGCCACTTTACCCCCCCTGGGGGACACAAGGCTCATAGATCCCCCTGCAGTTCCTGAGCCAGAAGAAGCAGCTAGCGCGGATGCAGCAGCGGATGCAATCCCGCCACCACCAGCACCAGCAGCGGCAGCGGCAGCAGCGGCGGCAGCAGCAGCACGCATGGCAGCCTCTCTCGTCTGCTCGTCCATCTGCCCCCTCTCCGCCTCTAGCGTGTGCTGCAACTGCTGCAGCAAGTCGGTTAGAGAGGACGAAGGGCCACCGCCACCAGAAACACTCGCTGCCTGCTGCTTCTGCTGTTGCTGCGGTTGCCCCTTCCCCTTCCTCTCCGCCTGCTCCCTCAACTGCTGCTGCTTCTGCATGCGCCTCTGGTTCCTCCTCTGCTGCTCCTGCTGCTGCTGTTCCTGCTCCCTGCGCAGTGCTTTCTGACTCGAAGGCAGGAGCTGCAGCATCCCTTTCTCCAGCAGCAGCTGCTGATACCGTCGACTCCAGTATGCAAACGGTCTCTGCAGCGCCTGCTCATCCTGCTCCTCATTACCCCCACTCTGACCCGTCACATGCACCTTTCTCCTCTTGTACACCCTTAGATCTCCCATTACTTCACGCCTAAAGGCCCCTGCTCCTAGAACCGCCCCCTCACACACACTCAGCTCAACCTTGACATACTCCCCCCCGGACTCCCCTGCTTTCACCACACTCATTCCCACCTGCACCGCTCTCACTGCTTCCCCTTCCTTCTCCTCCCCCTCGCCCAGCGGGACCATTTGCCCGAGCTCCTTCCAAATCTCCTCTGAGTCTCTGCCTCTCCACGCCCTGGGACTAGGTCGCTGGATGGCTGCAACCGCTGCACCTGCGGCACCTGCTGCACCTGCGGCACAACGCACACCACCACCTGCCGGCCTGGAACCGTCCCCTGCTGTTGCTGCTGCTGCTGCTGCCGTCCCAGTGCCCTTGAGCGGCCCTTTTCTACCCAGCCTTCTCCCCTCCTCGGCAGTGTCTGCTCCAGCAGCGTCCCACCGGGCCTTCCTCTTCATGCCTACGACCGACTCGCCTAACGGACTCTTCCCCCCTAATTGCCCAGGACCCGCCCCTTGTCTACCAGTGACGTCACCCCCCCTTGGTTCGGCCTTGCCCCTCCCTGCCACCTGCCCTGGTCGCTTCAACCCCCACCTCTCTCTCTCCACCTCTCTCCTCTCCCGTTCGGCTCTCACATCCCGCAACTCTTTTTCTCTTGACAAAGGCCCCTTCTCCCCTTCCCTCGTCCCCTTGTCCACGCCTCTCCCGCCTTCCCTCAATCCTTCTTCCCTCACCCCCTCCATCCCCACCTTATCCTCTCTCGCCTTCTGCCTCCCGCTCCCCTGCCCCTCTCCCTTGCCCTCCCTCTCCCTCCCAAGCCCTCGGCCAGGCCCATTCCCTGTCCGCTCCGCCTCCCTGGTGGGAACGCCTTGCGCCCTCTGAAGCACCTCAAGCCCTTTCAGCGCCCTCTTCTCCCCAACTCCTCCTCTCTGCCCTCCCTGCAATACTGCCTGCACGCCGCTCTTCCCTCCCTCTCCTCGCCCTTCCCTCTCCACCTCCTCCTTTCCCGCCCTAGACTGCGGCTGCTTCTCCACCCCTTGGCCAGGCACACGAGCAGAGACACCAGTAGCACCTCCCCCAGCAGGCGCCACAGCAGCAGCCGTAGCAGAGGCTTTCACCCACCCGCCTGCCCCCTGCACTCGCACGGCCCCCAGTATCTCGATCGCAGGCCGCTGCTCCAGCCTCGGCCTCTCCTCCCTGCCCCTCGCCTCCTCCTTCGCAGAAGCATCCTTCACATCAGCCTCCTCCATTTTAATCTCCTCCACAACCTTTATTGCAGCCTCCCTTTTGCTCTCTACAGCTTCTTTAATCACCACCTGCACGGATTCCCCCACAGCCATCGCGCTCCCTCCGCTTCCATCCGTGGACACTTTCACTTCTACCACCGTCGCCAGGGCAGATGGCGCTTCGTTACGCCCTGCAACACTCTCTTTCTGGCTGCTTTCAGCCGCAGCACCACGTATCTCTTCCACCTCCACTTGCACTTGAACACCCTTACTTGCAGCCACACCAACCTCCTGCTTCAAGTCCACACGCCCCCCTCCGTCCTCCTCCACCTCAAACTTGCACTTCCCTTCCTCCCCCTGCTCTTCCTTTTCCCCATTCGCTTTCACGCCAACCGTCTGCACGGGCTTCGCCTCCTTATCTCTCCCCTCCTGCGCTGCCTCACCAGCCCCCCAAAAAACCCCTCTTTTAACCTCCACCTCACACTCTCTTCCCCCTTCTCCGCTCGCCTTCTCTTCAGCCACTTTAGCACCACCCTCCCCAACACCCCCCTCCACATCCTCGCCATCCTTCCCCCCACCCCCTACCTTCCTACCACCGTTCAAAACAGCTTCTATTCCGCTCGCCGCCAGGCCCCCACGCCCGTCCCCTCTCTCCCCCACGTCCCCCCCAGCCGCCCCATGCCCCACCACTCCATCCCCCACCGCATCTCTCCTCCTCTCCGCCCCGCCAACGTCCCCCAGCTCCTCCAGCCGTTTCCGCTTGCGCCACGCGGAGTTGAGAATGTCAGGGCCCACAACGTGGAAGTCCTTCACAATACCCCCACCACCTTCCACTCCTCGCATCATCAACTCCTTCCCATCGTTCGTCCCCTCCGTTCCTTCCCCACTCTCCAGCTCCCGCTCCCCGTTTCCCAGCAGATTCTCTGGCGTTGACCTTCCCGCCTCACCGTTCGCCATGGGCCGCTTGCCTGGAGTGCTCCCTTGTCTATCTGCCGCGTCCTCCCCTTGCCCCATGACTTGGCTCGACTCCCTGCCTGGGCCGGCCAGGGCTATTTCCGGCGCACCTGCAGCGGCCGCACCTGAGCCCTCTGCATGCTCGGGCGGCGTTCTCAAATCAGCAGAGTCTGCTGCTGCAGCAACAGCCTGATCTGGCTGCTGCACCACGAAAAGAAGACCCGGGGAGGGGCGACGGAGAAGAAGTGGGAATGGGGGGGAGTGGGACAGGAGGATTGTGTATGCAAGCAGAAAGCTGATGATAAGATCACAAGAAACATTGCCCGCCCAATTCCTCCCACGATAGCCCTCTCCCCTCGAGACCCTTCTCAACCCACCTCCGCCGCTGCAGCAGCGTCGTCCGCAGCAGCCGTTCTTCCCCCCACCGCCTGTGCCGGCGTCGCCGCCTCCCCCTGCCCCCCCTCCGCCCCGCCCTCCTTCCGCCTGTCCTCCAGCTCGCACAGAATCGCCAGCCCCGTCGCGAAGTCCGCGGACACGCGCTTGGCGGACGGCGCAGTCAGCTGCTCGCGCACGTCCGCGGAAAAGGGGGTGACATCCGCGGGATTACATGCGCGGCTGCGCGGGTGGGATCCGGAACATAGGACGAGGGGGGAAGGGTGAGATTGGGGGGCGTGGGAGGCGGTTAAAAACGAGGCTCAGGGTTGGCCGGCATTGCCATCTCATGCTGGAAAGGAGGAGTGTCTGGATTTACGCATCGAAGATTCAGCAGAAAGCCGGTCGCACGTGTAGCACACGTGGCGCCCTGGGAAAGAGACGTGAACTTCCGGAGATAAACAATCTCGAATACTGGGACGACCAGACGTGGCTGTGAGAGGGAGGGGAAACGGAAGGCGAGAAGAGGTAGCGGTAAGGGACTCACAATTGGCCGGATGGGAAGAAGGTTACGTAGACCTTGTTGGGGTTATGCTTCAGCTTAGCCTCCTGTGCGTTTGTAACCTGCGTGTAGAGCGAGGGAGGGAGGGGGAGGGACGGAGGGTGCAGGAAGTGAGAGTGAGTAGGGCGTCGTGAGAAGGGGGAGAGTGGGGGGAGACGCTGACTGGCCGTCACTGACTGACCGACAGTGATCCACTGGTACAACCGTCGGGTTGCATAGGCAACGCTCCTAACGATTCCCCAGGGACATTCACAGCGTCACGAGCTTCCTTATGCCGAGCCACGAGCCTTGGCGTGGACCAGCCATCACGATGTGACTGTAACGAGCAGAACGGATGGGGAGCCTGCGCATCGAAGCGTTACGCGCGAGGAACGAATGCATGATTTTTGTCTGAACACCCTCCCGCAGGGAAAGCATCAAGCACTACTGTGCATGGTCAAGCAAAGCGACCGTAAGATCCACCAGCTCGTAAGGATCCGCGAGAAACGATGCGCAGGTGCTACTCGGAGATACTAAGACGAAGGGAAGGCGAGCAGAGGCGGTAGCGCGGGGCGAGGAAGGAACGCGAGAGCGCGAGCGAGAGAGCGAGCGAGACCTTAGCGGGCCATGGCTGGAATCCCTTGACTTTGGCGAGCACGAGATCGCCTTCCTTAACGTCGACCGGGACCTTCTTCTTAGTCGGCGGCATGGCTCTCGTCAGCGGTCTACGTCATGGTACAGTGAATTAACCGTCAGGCTCGCAACGGCGATCTGCTCTTTTCCAGATTACCACCAGATCCACGCCAAAAATGAGCCCACGAAAGGCCTAGGGTTGGTAGCACGCATCTTGAATCCCTAAAGCTAGGTGAGAGACGGCAACGACGGCATAGCTGGCTGACCGAAGCGCCTCGGTTGCGAGATTAGGGCATGGAGCCTATGTGACGTCATGAGGTTTCTAGAGCGATGGGAAGGGGGTCTGGCTGCGGGGATGTTGGATGGGGGAGCAGAGGGTGAGGCGGAAGGGCAGGGGGAGGCAGGGAAGGTCAGGGGGACGGGGACGGATGAGCTCCTCTTTCCGCCTTCGTCGGGAAGGGCGAATCTGGCTGGATTCAAACAGCGATCCCCGGCAGCACTCCTCTGGAGGTGCCTTGTTCGGGTGGGTTATGCCTAAGATAAATGGAATAATCCGTAGGTGTACTTCGTGTAGTTAGAGCTTACCTAAATGAGTTCCGCCTCTCATGGTGTGATGTTACAATTTCAAACTACGCATCAAGAAAAAAATAAAGCAATGCTTGTTCCAGTGATTTGTTTTGTGATGATAGCACGGGTGCCAACGCATTTTTTTCCAGAGCACTCCTAAATATTCAGCACCAGTAATACATGCCCATTGAGGAGGTAACTAACTTAGCATAGAAGAAGTGACTAGAATCAAATGGTACAAGTGAATATAGCAAAAGGGGTTGTACTCTATATGGTAATGCACCTAGCTAGCCTATAACATATACAAATTATATGTTGACACACCCCCTAGGCTAGACAACGGGCAACAACTAGTACAAGACGGGAAACTCAGGGTGGCACTACTAGTCCTACCTCTGAGGCAAGGATCCGAAGGCTAGTCAGCAAGAGTACAAAAACAAAAAAAGGTAACCCAGGGCGGCACTACTAGTCCAGCCACTGGAACAAGAGCCACAAGGCCAGTCAAGATAATATGAGGGGTAGTACACAGTCAGGGTCCTAGCAAGTGAGAAGCTACAGGAACTAGACCAAGCTGTAAACAGTATCGCTGATGACCTTTAGGTGAAAGCACATTCGTAAAGATATTAGTTGTGTTGGCACCGAAGGCCAAGTGAACCACGCGAGTCTGGCGGCGCTATTGTAGCTCGCACAGGAAGAAGTACCGCAGTTGGATGTGCTTCGCTCTGCCCTCCAGTCTAGGTTCCTGACATAGTAGGATCATGGCCCTGTTGTCGGCGTACAGGACCGGGACAGAGCTAGACTGTTCACCTAAGTCAGTAAGCAAGAAAGTCAGCCAGCGCAGCTCCTGTGCCGCCATCGCACCAGCGTAGATCTCAGCCTCGCAGCTTGACTGGGCACCAGATGACGAGCGAGTGGACCTTCACGAGATGGCGCATGCATCAAGGCTAAAGCAGTAGCCTTGTGAGAACCTGAGCATCTCAGCGTCCTCCGCCCACGAAGCGTCTGTGTGCCATGTAAGGACCACTGGCCTGCGTCCTCCTAGCCACTAGCCAGGATGGTGAGAGGGTATGCGAGATCTGGACAAGTGCAAGTCATCAGGTACATGAGGCGACCCACTAGCTCTGCGTAAGGACCACTAGGCTTTACAAACTCCTCAGGGACTGTAGCCGAGAGCCTGTGATCTACTAGCAGAGGTGTGGGCTGTGCGGAGGAAAACCGAAGGCCGAACTACTGAAGGACCGGGCGCACCAAGTGTGACTGTATGAGAGTGATGGTGCACGCTACTCTGTCCCTGGAGATCTGTTGGCCAAGGTAGTGGTGCGGTCAGTATAGGTGTGTCTCCTTAGCAGCTCTGCCTTCACGGAGGCTAGTGAAGCAACTCATGCGGCTCTCCAGGAGGTCGCTTCACCTTGAAGAGTTACCGGCCATCGACTACGTTCATCCTAGATGGGGGAACTGCGTCGACGTAGGTGCCGGTGGATCTCGAAGATGCCATCTCCGCGTCCATGGCAGCTATCCACTGAGAGGCCCAGGGTCCCAAAGTCGCCTCAGCGTAGGTGTGAGGGGTCGGGATGTTGAAGGCATCTGGGTCCCTCTCAGGTACTAGCAGCATGGAGCAGAGATGAGGTGCGGTCTCGGACAGGAAAGCAAGCTCATACTGCCGATCGTCTAAGACGTCACTGCAAAGGGCAGGAGCACCCCCGACGGACGGAGGACGGACAGGGTCAGAGACAAGAGCGGTGGCGTAGTCAAGGCGGCAGTTAGAGGCGAAGTCAACGACAGAAGCTACAAGAGCGTAAAAACTCGAGACATGAACAGACGGGTTGGTAACGAGGGAGGCAAGGACCTGAGGAATAAGAGGACTAGCGATACGAAGGAAGTCAGACAGATGAGGCAGAGCGACTACAGGCGATGACGGAGGAGGCAAGGGGAGGAGGGGAGGATGAGACGCGTGGGAATGAAGCAACATCGGTTGAGAGCGCTGGACAAGAGAGACACGACGAGAACGAGAGGGACGACGAGACCAGAAGTGGGACGAGGACGTCAGGTCAGGAGACCCAGGAGGAGACACTGGAGGAGACAAGGGAGGAAACGAGTCGAAGACGGTTCCGGCGGGAAAAGACAGGGCCGTAGACAGGCAGGGGAGGCGGCGACGGGGGAGGCGCAGGCGGGTGGGCAGGGAAGAGAAGGCCGAGCAGGCGAAGGGCAGACATCAACGACGACTGTTGCTGCTGCTGCTGTTCCACGCTGACACGTGAACCTGCAGCTAGACCACGGCTACCTCCGGGAGACGCAACGCCAACACTCCTAGAGCGAGAACCCGCTACACCACCGGTGCCACCCCTAGGACCGCCGGGACAAACCACGAGAGTAACTGCAAAACTAGCACCCCCAGAACAGCACCCCAAGAACTAGAATCCTCTCCAACACTGGTGCCACCCCCAAGACCATTGGGACAAGCCACAACAGGAACCCCAGGACTAGCACCCTCTGCAGCACCCACACCCTTCGAGCTCGCGGGCGGCTGCTACTGCTGCTGCGGCGGCTGCGACGACGACGGCGGCTATTGCTGAGGCGGGGACGGCGGCGGCTGCTGCGACGGCGGAGGAGACAACCGGGCGGTAATAGGTGGCGAGAACTACGCCGCGGGGCCACCAGAGTCAGCCGACTCCTTGACCGGGACAACCGACGGGAGGGGAGTGACGTGAGACACACCACACGGAGGAGGACAAGAAGGGAGAGGAGCAGGGGCTACCGGGGGAGTGGGAACTAGAAACAGGGATGGGGAAACCGGGAAACCTAAGTGGGGAAAGCGGTGGTAAAAGGAGACAGACTCGTCAAAAGTGACGTCACGCGAGTGAAAGAAGCGGTGAGACGACGGGTGGTAAATGTACCAGTCAGACGTGTCGATAGCGAAAACCAATGAAGACACAGGGGATAGTGCGAGCAGTGAGCTTGTCTGTGCCAGAGGCACGAATGTGAGCAAGGCAGCCCAAGACGTGGAACGCGGACGCGTCACCACGTAACCCGGTCCAGAGAAGGGTCGACGAAACTTGCTGCCGCTGAGAGTGCGGCCACAGGTTAAGCTGGTGAGCGGCATAGCGAATAGCGAACGACCACATAAAATGGGATGCACCGGCATGGATCATGGAAGTACGAGCCACCTCCATGACCAAACCGATGCGTCGCTCAGTGACCCAATTCTGCTATGGGAAGTCCAGTAGGGTGTACGACTGGGTGATGCCCTCCGCATGACAGAACTGTCCAAGCCGACCGGAGGTAAACTCGCCGCCACGGTCGAAGTGGAGACACAACACGGGGAGACCGCGGTGGAGGCGCGTAGCTACGACCCACGGGATAAGAACTTCAGGCACGTCGGCCTTCTGCTCCAGGGGAAACACCGTGGTGTAGCGCGTGTGGTTGTCGACAAGCACTAGAAAATAACGCTCTCGATGCGGCCCAGTGACGGAGGTTGGGCCCCAGACGTCCAGGTGGAGGGTCTGGAGTGGCGCGGTGACAGGGCGAAGCAAGAAGGAGTGAGAAGCACAGCGCAACCGGCCCTTGACGCAGGGCGTGCATGGTGGCGCAGGCGAAGGAGGAAGGGCAGGGAGGGACGCAGGAAGACCTAGGACAAGACTTCTGAGACATGTGATGCAGACGCGTGAGTGCGGGGTGACCTAGGCGGTGGTGCCACAGAAGCGACGGGTGAGTGAGGGACCGACATGTGCAAGCCGCAACGACCTGGGTAGATACAGGCACTTGCGGGGATCCCTTCACCAAGGGGGACTCGGTGTCGAGCATAAACAGGCTTGACAGCGGGTCCTGGGGGAACGTGGTGAGGGGGGCACCTGTGGTGGCCTCAGTACAGACCGTGTATCGCTTGTGGCCAGGGAACGTAGTGGTGACATCGAGGTCCTGAAGACAACCGACACCAACTAGGTTCCTGGAGAACGAGAGTAAGTGCAGGCCTATAAGGGAGCACAAGGGAACCGCCGGACAGGGAAGGGTAGTGGAGATACAGGCAACTACTGGACCTTAGGAGGGGTCAGTAAGCGCGACATCGACAGTATCGCTCTTGCTGACAGACGTGGTCGGAGCGGCAAGCGACGTGAGCGGAGTGTGGTAGTGGAAGAAGCAGGTACGCACACCAGAGTCAGGCGTGAACGAGAGCGAAGCGGTAGCGGCAACCGGCGGAGGGGCTAGCGTGGAGCCTAGGCTAAACAAGGCTGAAGGTCCTATGCTTGATACAGCAGGGGAGCATAGACTACACACAGGAGGCACACCTACACTAGGCAGGTCGTAGATAGGGGCCGTCGTAGTACCGCTAGACTGAGCGATAGTGCGTGGCAGGTCTTTATCGCGGACAAGGCGTTAACAAAGGCAATAAAGGTGAGGTCACCTGGGTGCTGACTAAGGAAGTGGTCGTGGGCAGTGGCTAGACGGTCTGGAAGGCGCGTGAGAATAAGGTAGAGGGTAGCGCAAAGCGGCGGCGGAAAGGCAGTGAGCCGAGCCTCAGTGCTAGCGGCGCGGTAGCTAATCTCAAGTGCACGGAGGTGAGTGGCAAGGTTGGCGACAGTAGGGAAGGACGCAAGTTCAAGGAACAGCATGGGGAGAATTAGGCGGTCAGCAGAGGCGGAGGCGGGGGTGGAATAGCGAGCGATGACTGCATCTAAGAATTCCTGGGCGTTGGCTACAGTGGTAAAGCGGGGATGCTCAGACAGGGGAAGCGCGTGACTG